TTTTCAATTTTAATAATTGTATTTGTTTTAATTTTAGTATTAGTGAATTTTATTTGTTTTATATTAGTGTGCATTGCAAAATATTTATTTATTTATTTTTGATAATTTTATTGGTTTTAATTTTATTATTGGTGAATTTTATTTGTTTTATATTAGTGTGTACTACAAAATATTTATTATTTTAATTTAAAAAATAAGAATGTCAACTCGAGAAAACTGATATTGATGAACTAGTTTTATTTATGGTACTACAAGTACCTAATCATATAAAGAGACTTGATTCTTTTCTAAATACGTATATTGTTTATAGAATAATGTTATCTATTCTTATAACTGTTGCATCTGTCAAGATAAGTTTTTCAAAATTAAAGTTAATAAAATCTTATTTAAGATCAACAACATAACAACAAAGATTAAATGGATTGACTTTGTTATCAATTGAAAAAGGAATACTAAATAAAATCGATTACGATAATTTATTAAATGATTTTGCATCTAAAAAATTTCGTAAAATAAAATTTTAAATAAAAATTACTTTTAACTTAAAAGGCCTCATTTTAAGATCCGTCTCAAGCCTCGATATGTGTTGGGCCGATCCTACCCTGAACAATAGTGGTAGGTATGAAAGTTCCTTCTATAATCGCATTCCAAACTTCTACACCATGAGATTCAAGGAACATTTGAATTATTATTTTTCAAAAATCGTAACATTCATCATTAAAGCAACATGGTCTATTTATATTAGAGCCTTCTCCTAAGAATAGTTTAATGGAACCCATATTTCCCATATCTAGGAGCAATTCACCAAACTCTTGCTCTGATGCCAATTTTAAGTTTTAGATGCAACCTAAGAAGGGTGGGGTGGAATAAGTATACTAAATTCTTCTTGCATAAGTGTTAATTTTTTAATTTTTTGGAAGTTATGTTATGATTACTTAACCGGTTTATGAATGTTAAAGAATAAAGTGTTGGACATAAAATGTGCATAAAGTAAATGACACAAGAGAATTACCCTGGTTCACCTTATCCAAATAAATGCTAGTCGAATCCCCCTATTTTCTTAGAGAATTTTACACTATGTTAGAAATATGTGTACAAATCTGACACCAAGACCCCTTTCTTGCAATATTCTAACACAATCAGAAAGACATAATATTACTTTCTTAAACCAATATTTTTCACCACAACCTTAATGAATAAGTACCTCATACACTTTATTGAGAATTTTGAAGAAGTTGTTGATGGCATGAATTCCAAATTTAAACTTGAATTATCGACTTCTTTTTCTTGTATCAAAATTCAAGATAATATCACTTAAGTGTTCAGATTATGTATTGAAACTTTGTTTAATATGTGAAATTATGCAAAGTTTGAAAAACTTGAAAAAGGATGAACACTTTAAAAAGAATGTTTAAATTGTGTAAAAAATGATTTTAAAGAGGTGAGTTTTGTTTTTTGATGTATAATGTTTTATATACACCTCCAAAAACCTCTTTGAATGGATGCATATAATTGAAAGGTTTCATGAAAAATTATCATGCATTAAAATGATGTTGTTTGGTGAAAATGTGCTCTTTCAAAGGTGGTAATCGTTTACCACATGGGTGTAATCGATTACCACTGCTCAACGTTAAAAAATGTCAAAATTTTGGAAATGGTAATAAACTACCACTAAGTTGTAATCGATTACAATTGCTATTGCTTTGAAAAATAAATTTTTTGGATGCATTGCTTCAAGGGTTTTTATGCATAATCATAGAGAAATTGTAAGATGAAGATTGGGTGTAGTTTATGAGCTTTCAAAGTGATATATAAAATGAATTGTGATATGTACCTTTAAGATGATGATCATGCAATTCTTCCACTTGTTTTCCATTGATCACTCATTATGACATCATCATATTTTTTTCTTTGAGATACATTTATCTTCATCAAAACCAAGCCAAGTAGAAGAGACATTCTTCACAGTTCTTCAAAATCGTATTGTGTATAAGGCGATCTCTATGTGAATCTCCTGTAATAATGGTTATCTCACCCGATTTATTGTGATATTTCATATTAAAATATACCATGGAAGCCACATCATACATTGCCGCCAGAAATGACCTTCCTAGGATGTCGTTGTAGACATATTCGCAAGGGATGATGAGGAGGCGTACTTTCATGGTTCTTTTTCTTTTTTTCCTTCTCCGAGCGAGACCAATATATTTATGGTTCAACATGGATGGGTTGAAGAATCGTTGAATGCTAGAACGTTATTGCCTTTGCACGACTTCAAATGTTTCATATATAGTCATAACCTCAAGAAGACTCTGAGGTACATCATGTCGCATGAACTTGCAACATTGATGAGGATCCCCGATATTTAGTGATTGGCTATGGTGGTGGTTACTACTAGTTGAAGCATTGCGTTAGAAGTTTTATCCCCTTCTCGTGGTCTTGAAACCTTATAACATGTTTATCTTCTTTTTGTTTTTTATTGTTGTTGATGATTTGAATGAATTTGTAAAAGATCCAATACTAAATGAACCAACCGCAAAGGTGGAGAGATGGTCTGGCTACTAGAGGAGTTATGACATTTTTCGCTGTTGGATCAGAAGTCATCTTTTTCGTTTGAGCACAATCGTTGTTATGATCCATGACCTTAGATCAGAAAAAAATGCTTATGGAAATTTGTAAGAACCAGAAGTCGATTCCTATAGACGGTGTCTCTATTCTTCTAGGGAACCAAACATACTCTATGAAATGGTGGAGTAGAGTCTTGGTGTGGTGGAGTGGATATTCGTTACGAATGCGCGAGGGTGGGCTTGAAAGGTTAGCATCCAATGCCCAAGTTAGTAAGATAATGATGTGTGAAGTGAGTTGTAGATTAGAGAGAGACTACTCCAAGTCTCATGTGGGGTGTCTTGCTTATGAATGTTCTCATTCATTTTGGCATGGAATGCGAGAGGCAATTCAGTGATATCTAATGATAGGCAATAGCCTCTTGCGTGAATCCAGTGTGGAGCTTTAAAGCAGGATTATCCTGTGCTTTCAATGATTTGGTATAGTGACTTAAATTGATGATTGGGTCCCATGGTCGGCCTAAATCATTGATAAAGTTGATAACAAGAACTTAGGGCTGAATGTTGCTTTCACCAAATTTAAGTTGAAATGGATTTCCAAGGATCAACAGAAAAAATTGAATTAAGATCCAATATGAATGTCGCCATAACATCTTCAGCTGCAATTAAACAAGCCGACCAAAAAATATCAATTCATACAGTAGTTCGAGTATGCTCCATCACCATCTAGTAGCCGCTGCTAATTGTTGTTGCAATTGTCACTCGTATTAATGTTTTGTAGCCATTATTCTTTTTACAAAACAAAATTTAAAAGCTTTTATGATGGATAACTGATCAGTGCATTTTAACTCACATTCTCTTATGTTTGTACTTAGGAATTTCCTTAGTTTATTTCGTTTATTTTAGTGTTTCATTATGTTTTTATAATTAAGTCTTTGTTTGCCGCTAATCTATTTTCACAACTTATTTTCAGCTTTAGCGGTTACTTGATACGTGTCCATTGTTCGGATCATAATTGGAGCTATGAGAATCAGATTTACGTGTTCTATCAGGCGTTTGAAAGATGAGACAGAGAGCTACAACTTTCATGTTTTACGTAGAAGCTGATTTAGAGTGTAGCAGGTTCGAATAATTCGTCAAAGTCAGGACCCAAATTCTGCCTTTAGGAATACTTAGTTTTGGACTGGTTTTTTTTTTATGTTTTTCGACCCAGTTGGGTTAGAACCGGATTTTTTTGTACTTCCCTATACCTAGTAGCAGCCATGCTACTGTTCGTTACATTCTTTTCACTAGTCACAATTTTAGTTTTTGCTTTTGTACGATTGAATGGAGAACTAATCTCAAGGATTAATCTGCTGTAATCGGTTTCCGCCGACACTTTGAGGTTCTTTTAATTTCCAATAAAATCTATTTCCTTTCAATTCTTCTCTTTGATATCTTATTTGCTTAATTCGATTTATCTTAGGGGTGATTGATTTATTTCGATGATGACATGTTCTTATACTTTAATCGCGTTTGCTTAATCCGCGTATATTTCTCGTGTTTGCTAAATTCACGGTTATTATATCTCATCCGTTTTTTTTTTAATTTAGAAATTAGGAGTATGTATCGTATAATATCAATTGTGCTGGTTTGATTGTTATTATAGTCGAAAATGGGATAGAGTCCGCTTAGGAATTGGAAATTAATTGGATCGATGATAAGTTGGGAAACCAAAACAGCAGATTAACCGTTTCAGCTTATTTTGATAATTACTTTTTTTATAATCACTTATTTTCAGTATTTTTTCTCTTAATCAAAATTCAAACCCCTATAAATTGTTACTTTTTTGGTTAATAACAATACAAGAATCCTTGCGATACGACATCTGAGTGTCGCTATCTCTTTACTACTTTTTTTTTTAAATACTCGTTCTTGATCCGTGCGCGACAGCGGATCACATTTTACTATTTTCCGAGTACAGATGAAGATGCAAAACGTTATATTGTTTATTTTATTATTTCATAACAAATTATCATCTTTAAATATTTATAGAATTTTGAAATTCGAACCAATTTTATCGATAGTCTTCTAATTTATTTAAGAGAAATGCTCCTTTGACACCAAAATGTGACACTACACCGTACATTCATACGGTTTTGTTTCTTTAATACATTTAATAATTAATTTTCCACTTTTTCTAATACAACTGAATGCATGTGCTTGCTGTATTTTGCTCGGTGTACGCACGGTGTAACACTTTTTAGTGTAAGAATAGCAACCCTCTTTATTTAAAGATGATGATTATAGTTAACTCAAAATGTAAAATCAAAGAAGAAGAATAAGATCACAATCATGTCACATTTTAAAAAGATTTATTTTTATTTCCTTACTCTCATGAATAACAACACATTACATTTCAAACAAATCACAACAAACATTTTAATTTAAACCCTATCATTCGCACCAGCCGCTTACCCCGTCTCCAAAGCCTCCACCAACTCCATCACCACTTCCAGCACCACCTCCAAAGCCTCCACCAGATCCGCCTCCACCTAGACCACCACCAGTACCACCTCCAAGTCCTCCACCATAACCACCTCCACTTCCTCCACCACTACCACCTCCAGCACCACCTCCAAATCCACCGCCTAAACCACCTCCACCTCCACCACCTAAACCACCACCTCCACCAAAATTCTCAACAAATTCTTCTTTCTTAAATTTCCGGCATTCAAAAGTTCCCATCAGCAACACAAACATAATAACAAATACTCCAACATACTTGCCTAAACTCCCCATCTTAATTTCCACAATGTAACACACAAAGCTTGCTTTGCACTTGTGATGAGAATGGTTGGCAAGAAGTTCTATTTATAGAAGCACATAGCATTAACAGTTTCGAAGTAAAAGCCATTATTTACGAGTAAAAAAATGTAAAACTATAAGGGAGATTGCATTTATTAGTCATTGATGAAGCTAACGACTTCGTACCGTTCTTGTCATCTATATCGGGCAAGGTTGCTCCTACCATGTGTATATATGTGTTGGCCAAAAACCATATTTGCGGCGTAATATATCACGTCGGTGTCAACATTAATAAGATAATTGACTTTGAAATTAAGTTCTAATAGTATATAACATGCAACTAAAGTGTTCAAGTAAATAAAAGAAAGTAGAGAAAAGCTATGGTAAACAAAATCAGTGTAATAATAGCATTAGAAGCAACACGGATGATATTAGTGTTATTGTACTAATTCGGTGTAGAAAACATGGTTTCACATCGTATATAAACAAATGACTTCATTATCAACAACAACAAATTAAATTATTTCACTAAATGGGATCAAATCAACTTCTTATGAATGATTATTTTTATTTAAATTATTAATTTCAAAAAATTTCTTAATAATTTTTAAAATTTTCTTTTTTTACAATTAGTTATGTTAATCGTCATCATTAGATCTATTCTCTATACCACAAAATTTATAGGTCTTCTCTCTACATTTCTAAGTTTATTACTCACAATTTTTTTATTATTGGTTCTATCATAAAACTCTCTCTAATATTGTCATTCTTAATCTTATTATGTTTAGTCTTACTACACATTCAACGCAACATCTTTATCTCTGCTACATTTAATTTATCCTCGGATTGTATTTAACTGTCTAACACTCTCGTACTAGATCGTGGGTCTTATCAAATAAAATATCATAAACTCTCCTCCATTTCAAACACTATGTTTAAATTCGATTATTTATATCGGGTCTATTTCTCAACATATATATTTTTACGAGAAAAGATATCCTTACACTATTTATTGTGGATGATCATATTCTTAACACTGGTTTCACCCATGATATTAAATATCTATATATAAAATATTCAAATTGGGTAACCAATGATCCGAGTTGGATCAAATGAATTAGATCAACAATAAATTTTTGGACTTGGTCTATAAAAAAACACATGACGTCCATTGTAGGATTTGGTAAAACTGGCCTTAGTCTCACATTTAAGTTTTAAAAAGTACAACTAATGAGCAAGCACTTCACAATTTAGTAAAGAGATCACCACATGATTCCATTAAAGAAGACGAATGAGCAATTTCTGATAGCAAGAACGTTGCTTCCAGCGGTGAGTATTTGAAAAGTTTGTTCGGATGACAGATGGTGTATATATTGTTGAAAGTGTAATTCATAATGTTATGTTGTGTTACTTAGAAAACAAGTAACGAGTTAGTTAGTTGTAAAAATCCTATTATGTAACATAATTCTATTTTGGAAGTTAGCAAGGGAAATCTTAATATAAGTGGCTACTAACTTTGTAAATAGAATGCTCTTTTCTTCTCTCATACTCTCTTTATATTCAATATTAATTCTTCTTTTCAATTCCTAAAGTGTGAAGGACAAACTTGAACATTGCAATATTGTGTGTGTGTGTGTGTATGTACATAAGTCGAGTAAAGTGTGTTATTGAAGGTTGCTGCATCAATTGAGTAAAGATTAATCTCATTCAACCAAGATTTTGTTCCAACATCTGGTATCAGTGTCTGATTATGTGTTCACGTTAGGTGGTACACCAATAACTTAGAGTTCAAAAAAGAAACCTATTGTAGCATTGTCATCATGTGAAGCAGAATACATAATTGCTTCCCTTTGTGTCTGTCAAGCAACACAGATGATGAATCTAATTGATGAGATTGGAGTCTCCTTTTGTTCAAGGTCAAGATCAACAAGCACTTTCCTCAACCATAAATCTTGTCTTGATGCTACACTTACTGCCACATATTCTGCCTCTGATGATGATAAAGCAATTGTATCTTGCTTCTTTGAACTCCAAGTTACTACACCCGATTCAAAACTAAATACATTGCCAGAAGTACTCTTTGATCATCTATGGATCCAACCCAATCACTATCAGTGAAACCGGTTAACTTGAAGTTTAAAACCTCAGCATACCAAATCCCATAATCCACCGTACCTGCAACATAAGGAAGAATTATCTTTGCTTCACTGAAGTGTTGCTTAGTAGGAGAATGCATAACACTTACACCAAAAGAAATATCATAGTGTGTGTTAAGTAGTTTAAACCACATACTAAGCTTCAAAATAGTCTCGGATAAGCCTTTTCACTTCCATCTTCTTTTTGCAGCTTTTCATTTATGTTCATAGGAGTCGCAGCAGCCACACAATTGCTTAGCTGAAATTTCTTCAAAAGATCAGTGGCATATTTCTTTTGACAAATGAAAATGCCATATTTTTCTTGCTTCACTTCTAACCCCAAAAAATATTGCAGCATCCCCAAATATGTCATCTTAAAGGTCTTCATCATGCTAAACATAAACTCATCAATCAACAACTTTGAAGATCCAAAATATATCATATCATCAACATATAAACCGACCACCATAAAGTCAAATTCATCTGTTCTTTTTAAATAGAGAGTGAGCTCATTTTAAAAAAAACGAATCAATTTTGTTGTCATTCTTCCATTCGACTTTATCTGCAGCTTCCTCATAATGACTTGGATTAGAAGCTAATAATGCAAAATCACAAGATTCATATATCTCTTCCAGAGATCTGAATTTTCTGGGCGGTGTGCTGTTGGAGGAGCCTGATAAGAAGCTGCTAGAAGAGCTTGACGAATTAGGAGATCCTTGTTGACTAGGTGTGGAAGGTGATGGACTAGAAGGTGTTTGATTTTCTGATGGCTGAACCTCCATATCTACAGGAGCTTGAACTGAAGTGTCACTAACCGTTGAGTTCCACACCCACGATGCTTCTTCATCAAATACTACATTTTTTCTAATAGTCACTTTGCCACTAACTGGATTATATAGACGATATGCTTTGGATTGAGAAGAATATCCAATGAATATACACTTATCAGATTTCTCATCAAGCTTAGAATGAAGATTAACTAAAGAATATGCTATATAGCCAAAGATTAACTAAAGCATATTGTTTGATGTTATCGTTACAAGGTGTTCATAGCTTACAAACATTTCTTACATGCATGTTTTGCATTATATTAACTAAATCTTTTAATACATGATTAAGTAATATTTGTGGCTGTCATGCAATAGCTTGTAAAATCAAACTTGTGTGATTTGCTTGTGGCAGTTTCCTTTTTTTTCTTTTTCGGGTGCCCTTGTTTAATGTTGGCCAGATCTTGTGATTTATTGATGTAAAGTTGTGTACTCTTTCTCTTCTGGCTGCGTACACATCTTAATGAACTAGCTATTGATATCCTATTAGTAATATTCCTTTTGATACCTTAAATCCATTTCACATCATTCCAATACTCTCTACTTGGATTTGACAAAACATTAGTGACTCTACCAACAACATGTGTTATACCTGGTCTTGTACACACCATTGCATACATCAAACTACCCACAGCAGACGCATAAGGAACACGTTCCAAATCAAACGTTTCATCTTCACTTAAAGTACTTTGATTAGAACTCAACTTGAAATGAGTAGCAAAAGGAGTGCTTACCTCCTTAGAACTTTCCATTTTGAGTCTTTGTAGAACTTTTTCTCAATCTACATACATGATCTTATTTTTCTGTAGCTTGAAAACCATCAAGTTTTTTATTGTAGATCTCTTCCTCCAAATCGCCATGAAAGAAAGTCGTTTTTACATCCGTTTGCTCAACCTTTAAATCAAGAGTATAAGCCAGACTCAACACGGTTCTGATTGATGACATCTTTACAACAGGTGAAAAAAATTTCATTAAAATCAACACCTTTTCTTTGATGGAAATATTTCACCACTAAGACAACTTTATACCTTGGAGACTTACAGTTGCTCTCAAGTTTAACTCTATAAATCTTCCAGTTTTCCAAAGCCCTTTTTCCTTTAGGCAACTCTACTAAATCATAAATGTGATTATCATGCAATGATTTCATCTCATCATGCGTTGCATCAAACAACTTGTGATATTCATCACTTTTCATTGCCTCTTGGAAACACTCAGGTTCACCCTAATCAGTCAAGGTCACATACTCATAAGAATTACACCTTGTAGAAGGTTGCATGTGCCTGTTAGACCTCCTAAGTTAAACTTGAGACGATTCTGGAGCCTCACCAAGATTCTCATCCTATGACATGTTATTCCCCATTTCATCATCATTAGTTGAAATATCACATCATCTCTAAGTTGTTGATCATCAAGATAATCATATGACTCACCATTTTTATCATCACCACCAATAATATCCAAATTATGAACAAGTAACCAAACTAAATCAATACTAGACAAACTGATATCTTTCTTAAATATTGTCTTCTCCACCTGATCAATGTCTTCAATAGTTTCTTCTTCCATGAACACAACATCACGACTTATGATAATCTTATTCCCTATAGAACCATACAACATGTAACCAAACTCATCTTGCCAATAGCCGATGAAGATACATTGTTTTGACCTTGCATCCAACTTGGGTCTTTTATCCTTTGGAATATACATAAAGTCTTACAACAAAAGACTCTGAAATGATCATACTTGATATTCTTTCCAAACCTAATTTTGTCTAGAAATTCATTGTTCAAATCAAAAATAGGATTGAGATTAAGAATATGCATCGTTGTGTAAAGTGCCTCACCCCTATAATGATTGGGCAACATAGCTTCATGTAGCATACATATTACTCTCTCAATTAGTGTTTGATTCATCCTATATCCTAAACCATTCAATTTAGGAGTTTTATGATGAGTATTTTCATGTACAATACCATGTTGCTTACAATAGGCATCAAATGGTCTATAATACTCACCACTATTGTCACAAT